TTTTTTAAAAATGACATCAAAACTTTTGATACCACCCACTTCAGTTGATCGTCTGTGTTCACATTTCAGAGCCATAGCAAAAGTAGATAGATAAATTTAATAGTAGTAACTTAAAAAAACAACTCAGAAAATTAAAGAGATAAAATAGCTATGGCATAATATAATTACGATTTACTTTCTAAAAATTTAATTACGTATATCAGTGATTTTATTTATGTGTAAAATTAGGCATTGTAAAATTATGAAGCGTTTTCCTATTCTGATTGGAACGATACCATTATATTTTCCTTGTTCTGCATCACAATATTATATCCAATTCTTCAATCTCATATACGAAAAAATCTGTGATAATACTAGTTCCAACGCCAATGCCAACATCGGAATAATCAAATGCATCATACCTTGCGGCAAGAGACCATCTATTAGTGTAATTGTTGAGAACTATCCAGTTATGTTTAATATATAGAAAAGAAAATGGAATAACAAGTTAATATTTTTTTTTTTTTTTTCTATTTAGAGTCATCGTCATACAAAGAATGTCTGAAACTCATGATACGAGAATAAAATGAATCTTAGTACGTGCTAAGTGGGATTACTGCGGTTAAATATATTATGTGTATGTCTATTCAACATCAGGTGAAATTAAGAATTTATTACGAAATGATTAAAGTGATTTGATCCTAGAGTAAATTTTCAGTTAAATATTTCTTTTCCAGGTATAAATAGATGAATGGAAGATTACAGTGAGTCAATAGATCGATCACTATATGTACCTGAATCATTCATTTGTAAGCCAATCTCTGAAAGTCTCAACAATTTTTCGTATTATTATATTTTGATACAAATTAATGGCTTATTTTTATACGTTCATACTTTACTACTTTGTGTATTATATGTAATATACGCATATTTGTATGTTAATAAAGAAAGAAAATCTTTCTTTCGTGCCATGGAATGGAATAAACATTGTCTTATTGAAATCTGAAGGCATAAGGGAAAAGCAACAGTTTTACGAAAATGATATATTTACACAATTTATTTTTATATCTCAACATTGTCATATTGTAATCATAATCATCATCGAGTCACATAATAATTAGCAAAAGAAAAAAAAAGTAAACGTCGAATATCGATAAAAAGATGAACGAGGAAAATTTTAGGTCAAAAAGTAGCAGTACAAAAGGAATGAGAGATTCGTCGGTAAAATTGGGAAAACCAATAGATCGCAAATCGGTTCATTCTTAAAAAGGTTTAAATAAAAAAAAAAAGGAGTAAAAAACTTGTAATAGCTTTTGAACGCGTCTACTCATGTAACCTAATTGGTTAAGAATATGGAGGAAAACTTATCAACAAGTTGCAATCATTTCGAATCATCATTCGTATAACAGATTCTACTCTATAGTGTATACATTTCATCTTCATGATTGTAAATATACACGGTACGATTCGCATTTTAATCACCAAATGCCCGATAAACGTGTCATTGTAGGAACTGAATCCAACCATCTTACAATATTAAAGGCTGTCTTAAATACTGTGAACAGACACGGTCATTCTTTTTTCCTTACTTCTGGAGTATAGTTTGCTATCGGATGACTGTGAAAACTTTTTTTCCAGCTTTACCCTTGTTCAGAGAATAAAATGAGTAAAAATATTTATATATGATCGAATGTACTTCGAAAAAAACCATACAATATAATGAAGGTTGGACAGGATCAATTCCAATTATACCTTTATAGGACGATGTTCATTGCAGCTGGTCCCACTACGTGCATTCATGTGTCATTTATAGTTAGAACAATCGTTGATGTCGAATACATTCATTAATATAGTAAAAAAAAAAATATGAATTTTGTTGCTTTCAAAAAATCATATAATTATGATAATGTTCATAGGAACATCCGATGCAATAAAAAAAAAAAAAATCAGAAAAAATTGTGTCATGATAATTTGTTCACACTTATAGTTTTGTTCCCAATATGCTTCAAGTATCGAAAACGAGTATGTAATCTTAAATTGGCATTCGGTGTCGTAGAAGTATTCGTGGTCTTTAAATATGAATTCAAAGATCATAATAGAGTTTTTTTCGAAAATTATATCATAATAGAAATAATTTTAAGAAAAGAAAGAAGAAAATAAAAAGAGTCAAGAATTAAATCGAATATATTGAAAAATTTAAAAAAAGTAAAATAAAATATGATATTCATAAGTTTGCAAAAGATAAAAGAAATGACAATATGAAAAATGGAATACTTGTGATTGTACAGCAAACAAAACGATAATTTTTGTATACAATGCATATCGACACATACATATGTATGTTCTTGACTCGATAATGTTTCCTGACTTTTTTGTTTTTAAATCTCTGATTATTCTGATTCAGGAGGGGAAAGGAACTGTGCGCTCCGACTTTACAAAAATTTGCTCGCTTATATTACAATAACCTTCCCTCGATTTAAGATATTCAACCCTTAATATATTATTATCATAAATAAATTTGGTCTATCGGTAATATTGTGAATACGCCGGTATAAATACTGGCAGTATTTGGTTAAGTAAAAAAATCACGATCACTAGAAGAAGTAACTGGTACTGATTCAATTAAAAATAAATGAAACAATTATTTTTTGTGCCAAATATTAATCGATGAAAAATTTACAAATTCACATATATTATATTTGGTTAAATGTACGTATATACATGATTACTTTTTGAATTATAGGATATCGCAAATATATCCACATGAGAATTATTATATCGTCCTAATAATTCGAAAAATAATCATATCTAACATACAAATCTAAACCAAATATATTGTCGATAACAGCAGAGAGCAATAAACGACATACATGTTACAACTTCCAGTAAACTTGATTTAACATTTTTTCATCGGGGTATTATCGGGGTATTGTAGATCTATTCACGATACGATCTAAATTTCTTGCAATCCTACGTTATTAACACATTGGTTTACAATTATATCATAAAATCTTATTTCTCGAATATATTCAATTTGCTTTATATTACAATAAAGTATTGCTCTATCCTCTATATTGAAGAAAACAGTAAAAGATTGTGCTTATTTGATACAGAAATAATTTGATAAGAAACTTTAATGGCTCGTGAACAGATCTATCATAGAACCACCGATAGGAAAATATAGTGAGTCAGTAGATCCATTTTAAAAACAGCAGTTGTAAAGATGTCTTTTAACATTTCCATTTGATCCACAAAACTGTTCGGTGTATTGTAAACTATGGTGACCCACTTATTAGTTTCTGCAGCACTTTGTTATAAAAAAATAATCAATGTTGTTCGCCACCACATAGCGCAACGGGTTCAAGACAAACATCAACATCTCTACCATATACGCGTGTGGAGTGAAAAAAAAGTGTAATAATGTAAAGTGATTGCGTAAAAACATATACTACACACTATAAAAAACACACATTATGCGTATACAACTCAGTGTCCTCTGATTCATGACTTGTATCAACACGACAATGTAAATTATATCTTTTTAATTTCAGTTAATGTCAATTGTATTGAATGTATACATACAAGAAAAGGCATAATTTACATTGTTGTTGATGCCGTATGTTGATCAAGTCATGAACCAAAGGACACTGAGTTGTGTACGCATAATGTGTTTTTTATAGTGTGTAGTATGTTTTCACGCAATCACTTTACATTATTACACTGTTTTTTTCACTCCACACGCTTCCCAATATTCTGGAAGAAATACAAACATTAAATTCAAGAAAATACAAAATTTTTAATTGTCAATTAAATTCAATGTAAAATCTTACCATAACTATAAGTGTAACTTTAACCCTCTCTTTTAATGGCACCTGGTGCTTCTGCTAATCCTTTGACTTTAAGTCGATCAGCAGTTTTAAGAAATGCAGGCAACTGATCTTGAGAAACATTAACTTCTCCTGCATACATAAACTCCAAAATAGCTTGAAGATGACTATATGCAACATCTTTTAGAATTATAATGGGATGTTTGGACGGATTTTCCTACAAAAAATTAACAATTAACTGTGTTGCATTTTCTAAAAAATAACGTTTGATAGCAGAATGATAACATACTTCTAACAAAGATTTAAAATAAGGACTACAAGCGGACAACACCATCTTATGTGCTTTACAAGTTTGACCATCACAAGCTAATGTCACATCCGTGAAACTTTTTTCATCTCGTAAGTGTTTAAACGATGATACCATATTAGATTGGAAATCGTTCCATTTAAGAAAAAACTGCTGCTGTTCATCTGCCATTGTTAACATCCAATGTTTCAACGAGCTTCGCTTGAATTTAAAAACTGAAAGAACAAACGTACAATGAACTAAAAAATATATTAAACAGAGTAATATATATATACATATATATATTTAATAGTAATAACAATGCATATGAAAACATAAAAGTTGTTAAAGTTTTAAACGTATATGTATTCAATCAAAAAATATTTACTTAATCGCGTTGGAACAAATATATCATGAAACGCAAAACTTCTAGAATGCATACGAGACAAAATATTGCTACCTTGTGGGGAGTACTGTGTACCAGATTTTTGGGTTTAGGTTAAGCCCAAAAACATTCGAGCAACTCGTGTACAATACGTTCAGATATATATGGTAAAGCAAAAGTAGAAATGAAAAAGAAAATATCATACCACGATGCAAATTTATTCCATTCTAGTAACGGAGAATGCTTTGCATGACGTGTTATTTGTATTTTGTCATAATAATACGCGTACATCTTACAGACCGTCCCGTCAAAGGCAGTCGCAGAACCAAAACGGCCCAACAATACGAAATGCGCGAGAAAAATAACTTAATAAAGTCTAGTACCTACCTTGATTTAGCGAAGCACTATATACTCGAGAGCAACGGTGAATCACAAAAAGAACGCGAAAAACATATATTGCCGAAAAGTTTTTACGCGAATGTTACTAATTTTTTGTTGTGGCTAATATCACGGCGAAGAAATTCGGTTAGACTCGGCTCTTTTCGTCGCAGATCGGCTCCGGATCATCATACCGACTGGTATAGTTTCACTTTTTGTCTGAAGATGTCGCTGACGACGTTGATCCACGCGCTTGGAGGAATATTTGAAATTCTCTCTACATAAATATCAATCCAAAATTGTATGTCGACGTCATTGCAACGCACAAAATGCATTCCTAGATATAACATCAAAGGACGCAGTCTCCTGAAACAAAGATAGAACGGTTAAAATCACTCATCATAAAATTCCCCTCTTGACAAGTCGTCGACTCTAAATTTGAACAAAACCGCTTGCAATATTTTATGATATGAACAGAAAACTGTTCAGTACCGGTAACATCCGGTTCCGTTCTTCGTCTCCAGAGCCAATCCAAGATCTTACTTACATACTGCCGATAATATTCTTTCTCACTTTGTTACTGCTAATTGCGCAATCTCACGCAAGCAATTGGACAGATATATAGTCAGCATGCGCTAACTAACGAATCAAATGTACCTGGCATTATACAGAAATTGGTTCCGATCGAGTGACCAATGATGACGATACCGACAGTCATCGGATCGGTTATCCCGCGAAACGAATCACGCGTTCTCCAAACGTATAGCTATGGAGAAATGGGAGCAGTCGTCGAGATGACGTGCGCATACGCAAGTAGACGTCGAAAAGCAGATCGCAGCGGAACAGGAACGAAAATTGCAGGGGAATTCTGCCGATTTCCGTGGAAAATCTGGACGCCGAAAGAACGGCGGATTCGTGTTATAAGTTCTTATAAATAGAACCGAGAAAGGCGAGCACCGGAAAAGTTTTCCTGTCGCGCGATGCCGCGACGGGACGACAGCATGTCAGCTTGTAAAACGAACAAAGAAAGATTTAGCCTAGGAGAGAGGGAAAGAGCGATAAAGAGGGAATAAGGCAAAACAGCAAGGAGAGGAAGAAACGATCGAGGTAGAAGCGATCGGAATAAAATGGAGAGGGAGAGTGAGAAAGAAAGAAAAAGTATGGTGGTGGACGCGCGGTATCCACGCTCTTAGCGCAGATCGCTTGAAGAGGAAAGAGGTGAGGAGAGTGGCTAAGAGGGAAGCGCGCGAGCGCAAGCGCAATGAGGCATGGAGTTACTCTCGTCGCACGCCACATTGAAAGCTTGCGACATGCCGCGAAGCCGCTCAGTCGTGCGCCAGCTCTCGTGTAGGTGATATCGTTTTCCTGTTTTCTGAGTATTCCTTGTGGTGTACCGTAACCGCGAACACGAAAAAGCCCGCGTAGGCGTGGTGAACGCGTTGGCGCGTACGGACCACGAGGTTTCTAATCAAATAATAATCAACGATCTTGTGTCCTCCTAAGGGGGACGGACGAAAGTTAGGGCGGTGCGCGTCTTTGTCCTCGAAAATTGGAATAGTCGAGGGTCACATTTTGATACTTGGATCAGTGTCAGATCTCGGCTCGTCCGCACAGAAAAGTCCGCGGCTTGCCGTTCGAGGTCGTTTTCTCGAGATAGAGTTTCAGAACGATACGTTTGACTCTCTGTTTTTTCGTGGATAACGTGTCGTCTAATTGTAATCCGAAGTACAAGTAAATTATTCAAGCAAATTGGTAGTAAAAACAAACGGACGATCGATTTCACAAACACAATCGGATACTTACGTTCAACAGAATAGAAGAAGGTGATAACAAAATCGCGGAAGGATATATCATAATTGTGATGTGCGAGTGAGCGATGGAGTCACCAGTCATGTACGATTCAGCGGCCCATCAGGCCCAGGCCCACGGCGCGGCCGATCTCAAAAAGTCTCAAATACTCAACAACAATAACAACAACAACAACAACAACCACCAAAGCAACAACAATAACAACAACACGGCGAATAACAACAACTCAGCTCTGCAGGTCAATCACAATCACAGTCAACAGCAGAGCAATTCGGTGGTGAGCAAGGTCTCGGCGAGCAAGGCTAGCCTTCATCAACAATACGCGGAACATTGCGCCGCGGCCGGTGAGCTGACAGACCTGAATACGCCAGAGATATCGTTGGATCTACAACACCTGATCGACGACAGCCATTTCAACGACGGCTTGTTAGATATGCTAGGTGCCAATAACGGAGCCGTGAAACATGCCAGAACACCGGGTTATCCACGTACTACGCTCGCCTACATGCCGCAACCTGTCCATAGCGGGGCAAGTTATCATCAGGGCAGCAATAGCTGTAGCGACAGCAACAGCTCGAGCTCCGAATCGCCCAGCATCAAAGAGGAGCCACTCGACCCGGCGGACTATCGTCGCCACTGTCCGCAGTATCCACCAGGTGGATACAGTCCAGTTACAAACGGACCGTTCGCCAATGGTGCACCAACCTTCACAACTTTAACACCGTCCACGGTGCCCGGAGGCCACCCTGGCGCACCAGTGCACCAACCAGCACCTCGAGGCGGACCGATGAAGCCAGTGATGGCGCATCAACATCATGCCAATACCGCCGCGGCTGTTGCCAGGAAACAGACCAAGACCATTGACAAAGCTAGCGACGAGTACAGAAGACGACGTGAAAGAAATAATATTGCGGTGAGGAAAAGTCGCGAGAAGGCGAAGGTACGATCGAGGGAAACCGAGGAGAAGGTGAAGCTACTGGTGAAAGACAACGACTTGCTCAAAAAGAGAATCGAACTGCTGACGGAGGAACTGAATGTCCTTAGGTCTCTGTTCAGCAGTGTCGGCGTGGTACCGGAACAGCTGCATCGTGAGATCTCGAGGCACCTCGATCAATTCCAACAACACGCGGTGGGACCTATGTAGCGCACGACGTCAGTGTCGTTGAGTATCGCGGTGGCATCACGCCGCCTCTATTACACCTTTCTCTCGTTCACCGGCCTTCGTCCCTTGCCTTTCAATCCGATATCATTGCGAAAGAAAGTCATTTACAAGAGACTTCCTCTTTCCGGGCCGCCTGATGGTCCTGCACGATCCTTTCGCGTCCACGTCATCCGGATCTAAGAAAAACGTCTTGTATTGAAAGCTGTGGACGTTAATGCGTCTTTTGTCCTCGCTGTTGCACGGTGAAGAGCGCGAGATGCACACGTGCGTTTGTTCAAGAGAAACGACACACGCAGCTCGCGGACAGAAGAGAAGACGTGGTGGGAATGAGAAATAGAGAGTAAGTAGAAGGGAAGGAACGCGCGAAGGAGAATAGAAGAAGGCAGAGGCGTGACTCGTTTGAAGAAGAGACACTCGATGGTTTCACACCGGCAGAGCTTTTTGGTAGCTAAAGCTTATGTCAACAATCTTACGTGTGGAAGAAAAGTGCCTCTGCTTATGGCGAACTTTTGTTTACATCGAGTGCATCGGACTTTTCCTTTTTCATTTGCGTAGACAATACGCAACGACATGGAGAAAAAGATTTACAAAAACGAAAAAAAAAAAAAAA